ATGTGTGTGTATACGTATATATATATATATATGGATATATATATATATATATTATATATATATATATATATACGTATATATATATATATATATATCCATTTACATATATGTTTTTATTCGTTTATATATATATTATATATATATATGTATATATATATATGTGTGTGTGTGTGTGTGCGTGTGTCCATGAATACATATTTATATGTAGATCTATTGAATACTTGTATGTAGATCTGTTTATATACCGTCTTTTGTATATTTCTCCTTGACACCTTCTACAATTGTTTCCTTCACCTCCTTCTTCTTGGCATCCACTTCAACCGGAAGAAAACTCAGGCAAAACACTGCCACAAGCAAGATAGTGAAAAGTTTGTTGATTCTCATAGCTGCTGTTTTGATCTAACGTATGCTTGTGCATTTGAATGCGCACAGAATACTAGTATGGCTGTATTTTTATAGGTTTTTGTAGTTGTAAAACTTGTATGAATACTGATTGCACGCAGGCGATCAAAAAGCCAGATATGATGAACCAAGATGCTATGACGCATTGCTTTCATTGAGATTTCGGGATCTCTGGTATCTTCTCAGCCTCTCTAATCTCGAATTCTCAATGCGTTTAACGCTTTTATAATGCGACAATTTTGTGAGAAAAACAGATACGTTTCCATTAAACGGTTATGCTATATTTTTCGCTGCAAGCCTGCAGGTGCATATTCATATTATAATTTGTAACGTGAGCGTTACGGACCACAAATCGGTTCAAGTGTTTCAGTTTCAGAAGTATTCCCTACAAATTCCTCTTGTGTTGGGAGCTAGATGTCCGTTTTTAAATATTCGCAAAATAGGTCGTTTTTTCTTTTCTTCCCAGGCCTTCTCTCTTTTGACCCATATTTTTGAAACGTTTCGTTTAAACTTAGTTTATGGTCAATACAAAATGCATGACAAAATGTGTGCTTTATTTTACCTTATTTGGAAAGCAAGCAAATTGTCAATGTCCATCAGTCCATGACTCCAAGTCCAGAGTCTCTACACTCTCTAGTCCATTGTCCCCAGGGCCCAGGCCCTAGAGACCAGAGTCCAGAGTCATCAGACTCTGAGACTCTGAGTCTCTCAGCGGCAATACATAGGAAAGTGTTGATGAGTGATGGAGTCTTGTTGAAAAATTACACGAAGACTATGAAATATGAATAGGGTGTGTGAAAACTGAAAACTGAAAACTGAAATAGTCTTTCAAGTCCGATAGGCATATGATAATGAGAGGGTCATGGGAAAATTTCACAGTAAATACAAACTCTATAAAAAAATTTGTCCTTGCATGAAACTGACAATGTCCACAATCCACAATCCACTGTCCACTGTCCACTGTCCACTGTCCACCAGCGGTCGCTTGTCCACAGTCCAGTGTTTTTTTATCAGTATGGTTGAGCAATTCGCATATCCTATAAGCTGTCTCTCTCTCTGTAGTTACTAAGTTACATGCTCATTTACAGCTAATAACTGGTCCGCTCATACATATTTTAAATAGCAAGCAACTTGTCCACTGTCCACTGTGTCCAGCAAAGTAACCAGTGTGATTTTATCAGTCGCATATTCTAGTAGTTAATACCAACTCCCTACAGGAAATTTACAACTTTACAAGACTTCACAATTATAAATGCATTCAACAAGCAAGAGTATGAGCTATGCCACTATGAAGTAGCTGTCACAATCAATGTTGAACGTTAGATACTCTGACGTACTCGCCCTATTAAACACACTAAGTACATATACTTTACAGTTCAGCCAGGTCGAAAGACAAAACACATAATTCAAAATAAACAATCCAATTTCCTGCCATTCTAGCAACGAATACACAGAATATGTATTGTATTTCTATGATATTATATATGACAGAATGTAGAATTCCCAGTAGACTATCACATATGTATCTACGCATAAACCAGTACGTATATGCAACGTGTCTTCGTCTCAGGCGAGTGCTTACACCCACCCTTTGTTTTTACTTGCCAATACAATAGTGTATGCCATTCCAGCGTAGGTCATTGCGAGTTTAACTAGACATTTAGCTAGCACAATTCCGTTGATTACTTATTGTGACCATTCACCACCCAAATAGTCATATTATATAATATACAACTTTTTCGCAGGAATCTACAACTATACACACAAGTATCTATCCCTGAAACTGATTCGAAAATATGACAAACGCACAGCTATTGTAAATAACCGTATCAATTTTGGTGAATACTTCTGGTGACCATTCACCACCTAAACAGTCATATTGTAAAATTAATAACTCTTCGCAGGAATCTACAACTATTCACATATCATAATTATCCCTGAAACTGAGTGCAAAATATAATAAAGGCAAACCTGTTGTACATAACCGACTAAAATTGGTGGAAACATCCTGGCAAAAAGAAAAAGGAATCAAAAATACTTGGGAACATCTTCCTGTGTTTTTAGTAAACAAATTTCTAAAACTAAAAGACTGATGCCAAAATATTGCTCAGCCTCGCATTCGAAAAAAAAACATGACTACTATCACCCGCCGCCCAGGAACTCAACCCGCGAACAAGAGTTCAAACAGGCATATGGCTATCCCCTATTCCCCAAGTACTATCACCATCCGATGCAGAGGGATACAGCGTGCACATATACGCAGATATCTGCCATACGCACACGCCAGTATATAACGCGCAAGCCTAGGGACGTACAGTCACTTGGGCAGCACGACGCTCTGTCGGTCGTATTTATGTAGAACAACTTTATATACGAGATTATGGGCGCGAGTGGCTTAATTAATTAACCCGACTCGGCCTTGAGGTACGCGATCAGATCCTTTCTTTCCTTCTCCTTCTTTAGACCGGCGAAGATCATTTTAGTTCCAGGAATGTACTTCTTGGGGTTGGTTAGGTAGGTATCTAGTGTCTCCTCGTTCCATGTAATTCCCTATAGTAACCATAGCACCGAAATAGAATTACTATCGGTTAGAGTCACGTCTGTGATATCATTTCCTTCCACAGTTCAAATATTTGAGCTGCGAAAATGGTACTACAATAGTCGGAAGTATTCTCGTAGGCACTAGCACTTCAACATACATGCCATCAAAATTGACCCGAACCCGAACTACGGGAGGTTAACATCACACAAGACACAAGCACCAACTCAAAATAATCTACGTATACGTAAGTAATATACACACGACGAGACAAAGTACAACTGATACACTCAAGGACAAACAACCGTACAATAGGTGATATGAATATAATATAAGCGGATGATGCTGTCTTGAACTTAAAAATATAGTTAAGCATATAACTAGAAAGTCCAGGCACACCCAAATATAAGCGGATGGTAATGCCTTGAACTTAAAGATACGTAGTCAAGCATATTACTAGGCAGTCCAGGCACACAGCAATCTACACGTTGCCAATAGTGAATGTTACTTGTTGATGAAGCATCATTAAGTATGACCTACCTTGGCCTTGTTAGCGTCGGTGTATGCGTATCCCTCACCCTGACCGGTCTGTCTACCGAAGAAACCGTACAGATTGGGTCCGGTCTTGTGCTTGCCATCGGCTTGAATAACATGACACTGCAAATAAATATTCAGATATTAAACCCAAACACTAATCCTTCCTAATATATTATTGTAGTCACGCAACTAAAAACTCTTAAACAGAACTAAAGCAAAACTCGATGTGAGCTAACGAATATTATTCACACATCTCAGTATACGAATAGAAGACTACAAATGCACAAAAAATCAACTGGGCCCTCGACAGTGGCTACGCAAGCGAAATATGATTTCATACTATAAACATGAAGCAACATGGTTAAAAAAATATACTTCTGTACACATACTGAAGATTTGCGGAAACAGATTAACACAAATTAGATATAATATAAATAATAAAAATCGACATATACGATTGCCAAAGAAATATGACAGAAGTGGCAACGTGCATTCAGAAACATGCACTTTTCTCGGATGCGATGAAAGATGCTTGACAGCACAACAACAATCGAAAGGATATGCTAAAAAAACACAGTGCAACATAGCCTGCAATTTAAACAAGTTACCATAAAAACAGTATTGTACAAGAATTCGAGCTACGTACATTTGAACAATGCCTTGATGTGATACAACATTAAATAGACCATAGCGTGCTTTTACTAAATGTTATTACCTGTGAGCACCGCTGCTTGAAGATCTTGGCTCCCTTGGTTACGTCTCCCATCTTGTTATAAAAATTCCTGTGAGAAAAGACACGACATGAACACGGGTTAACAAAAAATGATCCCATCCATATGAAGATTGTAATCAGAAAGATACTAGAAACCTCGATAACCAGGGAATCTACAAAGTATACATTTAACCAACCTAAATCAATAGCAAAATCCGGTGACGCACTATACACACAAAATAAAATCCAGTGAAGCGAAAAGAAGTGGAAAGACACGTAGATGCACAGAATAATACTATAATCATAAACAGCAAATCAAGAAGGTGAACTAAGAACAAAACTATCCAGTTCGTAATGGATGCCGGAGATGAAGTACGTTAAAACTTTAAAAACGACCTCTCTCAATTCGGAAATCACCTACTGCTGATACACGTAAGTAGGTTAGTCAACATATTCAATTATACATGTTCCAACCTAGTGGGATATCAATCCATAAACAGCCTGTGCAGATAATAGATAATGTACCTTTTAGAGAGTTGTATAAACAAATGCTAATTAGAAATCCTCTGAACACCTTCATTATATATTGAAATAATAATTGAATATTCATTCCTTTCCTAAATTGAGAGATGCGAGCCAAATTAAGACCCCTCCAGAATCCGATGGTGGACAATTAACTGGACGGAAGGCTAAATATAGAACCGGTGGGTATTTTAACGTGCAATTTTTCAAAAACAAAATATCTGTCCGCGAGACTCCGAGCGGTCCCGTCCGAGTGCATGGGCCCGTGAATAGTGATAAAAATATCACACACTTGAGTCGGTTTGATTCTAAAGTCCAAACAGCTGAATAGGGCCTTTTTTTAGAAATTAAAGCATTCCCCCGTCCCTCGGGAGTCGGGAGCTCTTTGTCCAATTGTTGATTTTTTTTTAACCAACCGAAAAAAATATTTTAACTACATATTGGCAATTTGGCATAAATACATAAATTTATATTTTACAAAATAGACAAACCATTTGTTTTTAACTTTTTCTGGAATCAGTTCCAGTAGAGTTTCTAGGGTTATATCTGGCCGACAGTTTCAAGTTTCAACGTGTGTTTGACTTTTATGAAAGTGTGTTTGTTTGTTTTTTTTTAAAACCAAAACCAACCAAAAAAACCACAGGCTTCAAAGTATTTATTTATGTGTATGTACTGTAAATACACACTAAATACGTGCATAAATTTTTATTTTTTTGGGGGGTTTTTATATCTACGCCATAAGTATTTATGTACTAAATTGGGGGGTTTTTTTTAAAATACCATGAAGGCTAATGTATACTATGTACATATTTGGTACATATTTTTGTATCAATAAACGTTGTTTTTTTATTAACAATTTAGCCATCGTTGTCCATTTCTCTGAAGGGGTTTTTTAATTTATTTAGGAGCGTTCTACACTCTCTGCCACGGTCGAGGCCCTCATCAACACACACAACAACAGAGGAGTCAAGGGCTCAAGGAGTCGGGGACTATACTATTTAGTAGGAGTGTAGAGAACTCTCTAGATTATATTAAACTGCCGCTGAACGGTACATACTGCGAGAGATCTCTTTTACACACTTGATGAGACACGTTTCCAAAACATACCTTCACTGAGTCTGGAGTCTCTGGTGAGTCTGGGCTCTGGCTGTCTGGGCACTGGCTGTCTGGCCGCTGCGGGCCTGCGGCGCTGCCCCATGGAAGTCTGTTGACTATTTTTAAAAATCTGGTTTTCAGCAGTGCGAATCATCACTTTCCGTCTTCCTATCGACCGATATTGACAGGTGCAGGTTTTTAACCCATATTAAATACGTGTAGGTTTTTGACCGACTTTTAAAAAGGTGCAGGTTTCTAGGTAGCAATTATGTCCTGAAATTACGCGCCTTTTACGCCCACCATTATCATTTTGCCCGTAGTCAATGTCAGATGATAGACTGCAAGACTGTCAGACTGTCAGACTGTAAGATTGTCATACTGCCAGTTGCCGTTATTTTTAAATAAGTTTTTATTCAATATATTTCGGGTCGTCATTCCCTGACCCTGGGGCCTGAGCCATATTTACGTTGATAATACACTGTATTGTTTTGTGTATTTTATATAAGGGTGTATATGTTGGTTGGTTCGGCCATTCACCTTGTTAAATTGTGAATCTTGTTTTTGGTGTGTATCGTTTCGAGAAGGATATTATAATTACGACAAATACGGAAGTAAGATAGTGTAATCTATGCACGATGATATTTTTAGGATTTAGTAGATCGATACTATTTGAGAAATCGCAATTTTTAACCGTCGGCAGAACTCATATATTCACCCGATAGTCTTCGTGTGCTACGACGTACACATGATCATGTTTGCGGATTCACTTTTACGATGGTGTCCAACACGGTATTATTGAATCTTGATGAAATTGTGTCGCAATGTTAGATTGTGTTTCTATGTAGCTCGTGATATTCGTGGCTTTCATGTGATGCATCATCTGTGATTAAGTGAATGTATGTCTCTGGTATATACTCTGACTTTATGTCAAGCTGCATTGGCGTTTTAGATGCTGTCAGATAGGGAACAACCGAACAAGATTCGATCCTCTTCATCCGAGGCCCAACAATCACCACTTAGTCCTAGGACACTGCAATGTCACGAACGACTTCGATCTGGAAGTAGTCCATGCTGAAGCCAAACTTCAATCATTATTGTCAATGGAAAAGATTTTGCCACCCCAAGCAGCCCCCATAAAGACTCCCAAGACGCCAACACTGATGAATCGAAAGATGAAGCAGAGAAGTGACTGCATGGCCAGTTGATTGATCAGGCTGACAGACTATCGATGTCGATAAATTAAAGTAAAAGAAAGTACGATTTAGAAGTAAATTTGTACGATGTAATTATAATTTAGCTTCAGCCCTTGGAAATGAGCTAAACGAATAGGGTCTTTTAGTCCTAGACTGTTACTACTTCGGTCTATATTTACTTGGTGTCAGTAACTAAGATTAGATTTCGTTCCATAGGGTGCACAATATTTTATTCCCATATCCTTTTATGTTCTGAAATTATTCCCTAATTGCAAATACTAATGGAATGACTAATTCCAGCTTGAGAAATATA